CCCACCAGCCACTCCTTGGAAGGAAGGTTGGGCAATCCTACTTCCGTAGTGATACTGCCTTGGAAACCCAAGGAGGGGTCGCTATGAGTCGGGTTTGACTTGACGGCACATAACAACAACAACAATTATTGGCAATTGGATAGTATGATACTGGCACCATAAGGAAAAGAGCTATATGTAAATGAGTGTTTATTTACATTATCAATTATCTATTGCTGAATAACAAATCACCTCAAAACTCAGTTGCTTTGGAACTATAAGCATTTATTATTATTCACAAAATCAGCTAGGTGGTTCTTCATTTTCTGAATCACTCATATGTCTGAGATCATCAGCAGGTAAGGTAGGTGTCTCTACTGATTTTCTCTGGAATCTCTCATATGTTGGGAGCACATCTGGTGGAAGATTGGTTTAGAATGGCCTTGGATGGAACAATTGGACTCTCCTACATGAAGTGTCTCTTATACTCTGACAATCTACCAATCACTTGCAGGCAAGTCAATTTGGATTCATGGAACTTCCAGACATGTCAAAGTAGAACTGTGCTCCATCGGGTTTTCAATGTTGATTTTTGGGAACTAGATCTCCAGGTCTTTCTTCAGAGGCAACACTGAATGACATGAACACCCAAACTTTTTATTAGCAGCCAGATGTGTTAATAATTTGCATTACCCAGAGGTGCCTCTAGTAACCAAGTCCAAGTTTATTTGCACCAACGTTCAGGTGTCAAAAAAATGTAAGATACTTACTGAGGTCTAGGCTCAGAATTGCACAATGTCTCTTCTATTGCATTCTTTGCCAAAAGTAAGTCAAAATGTCAGTTCAGAGACAGAGGACAAGGTATGGACACAGGTGGAGAATAACTGGGACCATTAATAAGATCAGTATTATATTAATGTATTTTATAGAAACATACAAAAATATTCATAAAGATACAAGCTAAACATATAATTGTGGTTACTTTGTAGTGTGAAATATAGACACTGTATGATCTTTTCCATTTTATAACTTTTTATTATAAGTTACAATAGTAACTAACTTTCTATTGCTTAATTTTAATAACAAATATATTTCTATTGTTTAAAATATATTTTACAGTAAAAAAAAATGCCTAGAACGAACATTTAACAAACATGCACACATAGAAAAATCTCATGGATAAACAATAGCTGGAATTAACAGGTAAATGGGATAGAGGAACAAAGAGAGAGAGAGAGAGAGATTACTTCTCTGAGCTTTTAAAACTGTGATAACAGTTTCACTATTTGGCAATTCTCAGGTGGCTTCTCTCATGTCTCAACCCTACAAATTCACACTTCTGGGTTTGGGTGGGCATCATTTGAGGGCTAGGGCAGAACAGAGACAAATGGGAAGGTCAGTTTGATTTATTAAATGTGTAAAAAAGAAAGAAAGAAAGAAACCTTGTGTGAGTGTGTGTGTGTTTTCACTCTGGTAACTGTTACATCAGAGAAAAAACAAGAGTTGCTTCCTATTTTCCAGTGGAAAGATTTTCCAATGGAAAGGAACAATATATTAGAGTAGCCAATGATCGAGTGAGTCTATTTTGGCAGAGGACGAGGGAATTTGAGAAACTGCAGTCCCCACATGTAGGAAGTGCACACTGTTCCACCCAAGGAAAAAAAAAAGGACTGTGCATGTCTGCTTTCATTTTCATTACCTTTTCTGCCCAGGGAGCCAGAGCAGCCATGGCTAGTGAGTAGTTCTAATTTTTCTGTTTTTATTGTTGCAGTTTGCGGGGTGACGACTCTGGGAAAAGAAGGAGGAATGAAGAGAGGACTCATCAGATACAACTGTTTTACTCTGGATATGGAGGGAAAAAGGGGGCACGGAAGGGCAACAAAGAGTGTGCTAACAAAGTCCTTTAGTTAATATATCTTCTGGAAAGAAAGGAAAATGTGAAAAACAGGAATCTGTGTTCAAAGTTTTTCTGTGATTTCAGGCTTTCTTTTTAACTCTTTTGACCTGGGATTCTCATTCATTTGAAAATGGTTCTAAAAAGTTCAAAATCTAATCTGGCAGAAACTTGTGTGTGAGAGGCCACACAGTTGAATAGTCATTTCCATTTCCTCCATATTTTTGCTCTCTCTCTGAACTTTCATTTCTAGCAGAGAGCAAGCCAGCTACAATATGTTTTCTATCTCCTCAAACAGATCTGCTTGAATAATGAGAACAAAAATCTATAATCTTACAGTCATGATACCTGCTTTTCTGCTGCATACATTGAACAGAAGGTATTTTCTAAATAAATTATTGTTAAAATTAGCAGAAAGTGAAGAAGTTGTGGGGGATCTAAAGGCTGAACTGAGTCAGTTATCACAGTTATCACAAAGCTCCTTACTGAAGCTGCTTCACTCTCTAAAAAAGGGTGATTGAACAGGCTCGGTGTACTCTTAAGTGTGGACCTGGGAAGAGCAGCATTAGCATCATCTAAGAGATGGTTAGAAAGGGAGATTCACAGACCACACTTTAACCTATCAAATTGAATTACTGGGAATGGGGTTCAAGACAGAGTACATTTACAGGTAACTTTTCAGATAACTCATATACACATTACAATTTGACAATCACTGGACTAGAATCAGATATCTAAGATGCTGTCCATATCTGCTATTGTATTATTTTCACAGCTCCGAAATCAACAAAAGAAGATCCTGTCACAAAAGTGAAGTCAATTGCCAAGAACATGATTGATGAACTTTTTGATGACTTCGTAGAAAAGAAAGTGTTAAATGAAGAAGAGTTACACAAATTGGGGGAAGGCATGAACGGCATCGTGAAGAGGACTGGAAATCTGGTTGAAGATATTGTTGAGAAAACCGCAGTAGCAGGCAAAATATTTATGGACCGCCTCTTGAAGCCCAGTAAAGCATTGAGTTTAAGTGAGTACTTTGGGTCAAAGGCCCTTAACTTGCTCTTGCTCTACTGTCCTCATGGGCAGTTGGCGTCTTTGTTTCTCCTTTTTGCTTGTGGAGTATAAACTACCCACATCTCCAGAACTGACTCTCTATCCTATTTAATATTGAAAAATGCCCTGACCAAGCTTTTTCTGTATTCCAGTACTCCCAATGGCTTCATCTTGCTGCACATTCTCTTTTTCCTTAGCACTTATTGTCCTTAATCATTCTGTAAAATGTATGTATTCATTGTCATATTTCCTCCTGCTAGATGTAATGTCCACAAGGCACAGATCTTTGGGTCCTTTGCTCATGAATATATCACAAACTCCGAGAAATGATGTCTGACAAATAATAGGTACTCAATAAATGAATGGTGCTGGAGCTGTATTTAATTCAATGGTTGCCTTTAGTTAGTTTGGGCTCTTCTGGCTATATAATATGGACTATAAATAATTTCCAGATATAGAATGTTCAATAGGAAAAACCTCTCTGTTTAGCTGTGGGTTAACCTCTGGAATAAATCTGTGGAAGTACAAATTCCCACAAGTAAAGTGAAGAGATAGAGAATTTGAGGGTTAATGAATTATAAATATTTCTCTCTAGAGAATGGGTCAGTCAGCATACATTTTCTGTAAAGAGCCAAATAGTAAATATGTTAGGTTTTGTGGTCAGATGATCTCTGTCACAATAACTTAATATTCCCTTTGTAGCATGTAAGTAGCCATAGATGATGATATATACACAAATAAGCATGGGCATGGTCCAGTACATATTTATTTACAAAAAACAGATAGTAGGCTGAGTCTGAACTGAAGGCCACAGTATGCCAACCTTGTTTTGGAGGATAATATATACATGAGTATATTCCTGATTCTTGGATGATCCCTCTGGAATTCTCTATTTTTGGAAAGACTGTCTAATTTGCATATAGAGATGGATTTTCATTCCTCAGAATGAAAAAATGTTATTGCATAAAAGCCTTGATTAAAGATTTTGATTATTTCCTGAGTTGTGTAAGCATGAGGATAAGTAGCTCTTCTTTGTTTCATGGAAACCCTTCTTCCTCCTTAACTTGGTGGAAGGTTACCATCCTCCAAAACAAACTTGGAGCTTAAAGAATAGGCCAAAACCCACATTGTATAGAGAAGTCCCATGGTGAATATGGTTATTTACTTGTCAGTGCAAGGGAAAGAGTTTGAAGTATGTAGGTTTTACAAACCTAATTATGCTAAGAAACATGTTTTTCATATTATTTCAGAATATTATCTGGAAAGTGACTCTGATGACTCTGATGACTCTGAGTATTCTTCCTCTCCTGCAGGTAATTCTCCCCAAATCCCAGATCCCAAATGAAAATTATTTGATCTCTAATGTAGTAAAGTAGTCCAATTAAGACATAGGAAACCTGTGCTCTCAGCCAATTTTGGTCTTTGGACACAATCTTAGAGTAGGACATTTGTCCTCAACCTTTTGTTTATTCCATCACAGAAGATGAAGATGAAGAAGATGAAGAAGATGAGGAAGATGAAGAAGATGAAGACAGAGATTGTGAAGATGAGGAAAAAGTCAGATCAGCCCAGGCACGGGCTCTAAATGGTAACTACCAGGAAACCCTCTGGCTGATGAAATCCCTCAGACTGCACTTGGGATGAGGCGGTCTCATGGTATAGTAAAAAGACCACCTGTTTGAGATTCAGGAAATCTTAGTTCTCTCTTAACTCTCCTCTGATAAAAATCCCTCAAAAGTGATGTTAGAACTTAAACTGCTGCCTTTCAATTTTCCCCAGAATTCCAAAATGAAAATGAAGCTGATGAAACAGAGGAAAATGCGGGATTGTCCCAGGCATCTTGTCTACCTCTGTCAGGTAATACTCACCTGCAGACATGATGACATTATTTGAGCTAACTCTGTTAAAGAAAGGCTCTGTGGCTTAGTGGAAAGAAAACGTGAGTGAAAGTCAAGGAATCTAGACATTGAGCCTTTCTCTGCCCTGACTAACTATGTGTTCTGGTTTAAATATCTTTACCTTTCTGAGATGTATATTTTAAAATGAAATAAAAAATTTCTTTAAGAGTATCTGTAAAATGTTAAAGGTATAAGAAACTACCAACTGCACAAAACAGGAAAAGGATGTGGTTAAGAAAAATACATGTGAAAAATAAAGACACATATTATGTGGTCACCAAAGAAACTCATGATTTGGGGGGCCACATTAAAGAATTATGGTGTCTAAACCAAGCTGTGCTCTGAAGAAGGTAGATTATGTTGTTTTCTGGACACCATATTTTCAAAAGTTATGGACAAATTTCTGAAGGAATAAAAATACTTAATATTTAATGATTATTGTATTAATGCAGCATATATTAATTAGAACCCTGTGTATGCTGTACTAGTTGCTAAGTTTATGGCAATAAACAAGACAGATAAAGATCCAGCTCTCATGAAGTTTATAGTGTAAAGTTAAAAGAACAAACCAAACCCATTCCCACTAAATGGATTCCAACTCATAGCAACCCTACAGGACAGAGTAGAAATGTCCCATAGGGTTTCCAAGGCTGTAAATCTTTACAGAGGCAGACTGCCTCATCTTTCTCCCATGGAGCTACTGGTGGGTTTGAACTGTGGCCTTTTGGTTTAGTAGCTAAATGCTTTGGTAGCATAGTGACTAAGACACTTGCCTGCTAACCAGACGGCTGGAGGTTCAAACCCACCAGCCACTCCTCGGAAGGAAGGTTGGGCAA